AACTGTGAGTTTCATTCTGACAGAGCACTGTAGCTAACAGCTGGAAAACAGATGTGTGTATGGGGGTGTAAGGTAGTGAGACAGAGTGCGTGAGAGAGAGTGAGACAGAAAAGAGAGCGACAGAGCGAGCGAGTAAAAAAGACAGAGAGAGAAGAGAGAAAAAGAGAAAAAAGAGAGAGACAGAGAGAAGAGACAGAAAGAGGGAGATAAAGAGATAGAAAATGAGTGAGGAGAGAGTGAGTGAGAGTGACAGGAAAAAAAAGACAGGACATACAAGAGACAGAGAAAGAAAGAAAGAGTGAGAGGGAGAGAGAATGAGCGAGAAGGAAGGAGAGACAGAGTGAAACAGAAAGAGACAAAGGAGAGAGAAAGAAGTTAAAGAAAAAAGAAAGTGAGAGAAATTGAGAGAAAAAAAGAGAAAGAGAAAACAAAAGAGGAGAGAGAGAGAGAGAGAGAGCAGGGGAAAGAATGCACTGAATGTTACTCAGACTGAGTAAATCAGGAACTATTTGTGGTTGTTGGCGCGCTGTGTGCAAATGATAAAGTCTGAATATTGAGGTGTGGGTCTAAGGCTGAAAGAACACTGGATCAAGAGGAAACTAACCACAGGGGCAAAATCTGGACCTGACATTAATGTGTGTTTTCTGTTTCTGTGTGTATGCTGGCTGTGTGAGTATGTGAGTAAGACAGAAGGAAACATGATGACCCAATTTTACCTTCCGTAAACTCATCTGCTTCTTAAACAGAATCCCAAACTCTTTCTTCCGTTGCTCACTGTCATCCTCTGCACTGCCCTCCCACTCCTCATCATACCTGCACACACATACATACATAAATACAAACACACACATGTGTGGAAGGATGTGGCCTCAAACAAATGCATATGCATGATACATATGAAACTATCTGTATGTAACATACATAATATATATTGTATACACAAGTACTTTTATGTAATAATTGTAGATGTAACAATACTTAACACACAATCTTGTATTATATGAAACTGTATTGCAGTATAGCATATTGTATCGTATCGTGACTAGCATATTAGCTATGGGCTAACGTAACTTATAAGCTTGCGGTTAGACTGTTAGGTTGGCACAACATGTAATTATACATATAGAGTGCTTTTTTGAATTATTTACATTTTTGCTGTGTCGAATTAAAACACCACTTATCAAACCCTAAATGATTACACCTCTAATAATAATAATAATAATAATAATAATAAAAAATGCATTATGCACATGTACATATTTATATGTAATAAGAATTTATAAAGGCTAATCTTAACCTGACCTTCACCTTTTAGTTTTCAAAAACATGAAGCTTTCATTTTGGTCCTAACAATGTAGGCAAACCTACAGAATGAGGATTTGGGTCACATTTTATTTTGATAGTCCTTCACAGCTTATCTATAGATGCTCAAATTATTAACAGATTACCTGGTGAAACTGAGTCGATTTTCTGTTACATTAGATTTAAGATTAGGCTTAAGTTTAGATTTAATAGAATCTAATAGATTCAACTTGAATTTTAGTTGCTTATAATTGATATGTAGTTGAATGTTAGTTCAAGACAAGAAGAGCATCTACAAAGGTTCTACAGTGTTACCTATTTTTGTCCTGAAAATGTACAAAAAGAAACACACAAAGACGCACTGACAGGCAGACATGCAGACTTCTCATCACGTCATTGCTAGTGGTCTGCTCTCTCCTTCATTCAGATCAATTACCCAATCCCATAAATAACAGAGACCACTAACGGTGGCTGAACTGACCTCTCAAAGCCATAACCTTTCTTTCCCCCAGCATAGAGCTCAGGGTTGAAGCCAAACGGCCCTCTAGGTTCAGAGCTCTGTGCGGGGCCGGTCCTGGTGCTGAGGGCGGCGGCTCTCTCCAGCTGAGCGCGCACTAATTTAGGGTTGCGGCAGTAGTCACAGGCACCAGCACAGTTGGGCTTCTGGTCCCCAAAGAACTGCGAGATAGTGGCATGTCTGCATCTGAAGAGGAGAACATTCACAGCAATCTGTCAATGTTGTATAATTTGGACACAAGTGAAATTTACATGAAACAATCTGAGAGCCGCTCAGTGCATATTTAAAATGAAGTCAAATCAAAGGCTATTTTTCCTTACTGAGCTCAATTTATGCCTTTGTCATTGAGGCATTACCACAGATATTAGATGCAGCAGTGAGGTACATTTCCAGAAGTTAACGAGTGGTTTAAATGCCTGCAGTGTGGAACTATTTTAAAGTGGACACAGAAAATAGCCCAAAAGCCACTTGCACCATATGCAATGCTAGTGTTTCGATCACTGTTGGGCTTTTGCTTCTTGCTTACCAGATGTAGTTCTTTGTACCATTTGGTGTGATAACTATATAGTTATATTTAATATGATTATAAAATAATATGAATTTATTATATTATAGCATTGTATATTAAAGATTGTTAACCCACTTGCTGACTGCCTCATTTAACTCAACTTTTTTTTTTTACCAAATGTGACACAGTTATGATGTCCATTTGTAGACTGTATAGTTTGTGTTATATTTGTATTGCTGGGATCTTATAGAATACAATCCAAACATTGTCCTTTTACCCATTACAGTCACTATAGAATTCCAAACAAAGTTGGCATATAGAGAAGAAAAGTATTACTGCAAGTATTTTTGGAGTGCAACATGATGAGTCAGTGACTCATTACAAATGGGGGGGGGGTGTCAAAAGTGTGCTGCACACTTTCTTTACAATACTTGTGATGACAGTCGTAAGTGGGGTTTATTTTTACACTAAAGCAAAGAGGACAGTTATAAACTGTTACCTCAACCACAAATAATAACACAGTATTTATATACTAGTTTTTAAATGAAATCATTTAATAAAAATATTTCTAAGTTCTAAGACTCTCTCTTTTAGAAGCTTACTTATTTTGCTGATCTTGTGAGGACATCGGATGTCAAGCATGGAAACACAAGCACACATGTACACACACAAACACACACACCCTCACTGAGCAATACACTCCTCCCCGCAGCACACACCAGTGGGTTTCAGGTTACAGCAGTGTCTGAAATAGCTGGCTGGGGGACTGGCCTCGGCCCTGAATGGAAACAACATGGACGTTGTAAATCTGGCAGTGGTCACACAAAGGCCTTCTGTGTGCCACGTCTGTTCAACACAACTGTAAGAGCAGTGCTGCTATTAAATAATCCAGTCAGTGTGCCACTACTTGACATTTGTTTCCTATTTTCTTGTTTTGCTGCTCAATTCAAGCAAATATTTTTTCCATTCTGAAAATTTAACAGTGCGATATTTCCCATATGTCACAGTATCAAGGTGCCTGAATATATTTAAGTTTGCACTAATAAAGTTAACGAACCTATGCTTTCTGAACACTGGTAATGCACACTAAAAAGAAATATAGTTCATCGCTACATCCACAAATGTAAGTTTAGATTATACTAATATGTACAGTCTGAACTTGCATTTGTCATATAAGGCATATGTCAACAATGCCCAGAAATGCTGCCAACTTCTCTGGGCTCAAGCTCATCTGAAATGGACTGATGCACAGTGGAAACGTATTGTGATCTGAAGAGAAACTTTTCAGATGCTTACGAAACTAATGGACATTGTGTTCTCTGGACCAAAGAAGAAAAGTACCAACCAGATTGTTACCAGTGTAAAGTTCGGTCACAGAATGGGGGTGTATCAGTGGGTAACTTGCACATCTGTGAAGGCAGCGTTACCACTGAAAGACATCTACACATTGTGGAGCAACATATGCTGCCTTCTAAACAAAGACAATGCTTATTTCAACATGACAACTACAATCCAGTCTAATGTATTACATCAGACTGGTTGTGTAATCAGAGGTACCAGAAGTGGTTTTATTCTACTTTAACTCCACGAAAGAGAATCTTACATACTATTACACAGTCTATCTTAGTGATCTGCTGAAGCGTTATAGCCTGTCCAAATTACTTCACTCAGCTGAGGCAGGCTTACAGAAGCTTATGGAAGAGAATTTCCTTATATAGCTTTTGTACTCCAGAATAGCATCCCAGAGAATATTAGGAATGCTAACTTGACAGGTGTTTTAAACATCTTTGTGTAGGCTGGTATATGCTGAGAGTATTATGAGTCATTTTTACCTGTGGTCTGTAATCATGCTATTATTTTTCGTTTAGTGTTTTTAATCTTTCAAATGCACGTACATTCCTGTTCAACTAAAATGAGAAGTGCTACATAAATAAAGATTTATATTACTAAATATTATTACTTTAAATAATACCCAGAAACCATAGATTTAGAAAGGTAAACTTTTTTATGCAGTTTAATTACATAAACTGTATTTAATCTATACTGCTAAAACTACAAATCGAGATTGTAGAGTAAAGCCGATAAATCTCCCAGCACTACAGAAAGATCAATAGTGCAACTTAATGTTGTAAGTTATAGAGGCAAACTGACTCAAACCCTGGAGACCTAATTAGGAAGCAAATGTGATTAGAGCGAAAACTGCAGAGTTAAAAATTCCACAAAAACAAAACAGAAAATGTTCAGTGGACACGGCAGCCACTCCCTTGAATGTCATTAAGGTGTGACTGGATCTTCGGCTATCGTAGAATTTTTAAACACCAAAGGCTTAAGGCAGATTTTTAAAGTTTAAAGTCGCAAAATAGTCAAGAGGGAAACCTGTGCTGAGGCAAACTGACTTTGCATTCGTCTTGGTCTTTGAAACATAGACTCCCTCCTTGTTTATGTTGAGAACTCCCTTACCTAGCCCTGGGTTATGTAACAAACACAGACACACACATTCCGCTGCTTTAATACATGACAACCCAAACTAGAAAGGAACAAACAGAACCAAGCTATGCTCAAGTACTGCCAGAGTACTTTATGAAAGGGACTGGAGGTGGCGGGGGGGGGAGGGGGGAAAAAAAAGGAAAAAGGAGTTCCCACAGTGATCGGAGGGGAGGAGAAAGTAGGCAGTCCAACTGAGACAAAGGGGGTGTAGGGGGAGAGAGGTAAACAGAATGAACAAGAGACAGAGAGAGAGAGAGAGAGTTTCACACTGTCTTTCTTTAACAGTGAGTGAGCACAAAGCTAAAGTCTTGCTACACAGGAAGAGTCAAAAGGAAGGTACAAAACCACAGAGCTGAAATATATAATCCGCCTGTCTCCCAAGCAGTTAGTCATCCAATACAGCCTGTATAAAAAAAAAAAAACTGTCTAACTGACAAAGCGGCAACAGCATGACTGCGTTTGGAGCACAGCCTGGACTGCACAAAACTGGACCGAGGGCAACCACAGACTGACAACGACGAAGAGACTCCAAATCCTGCGAGAACAGTGAACTAAACTGGAAAAAAATCTGTGAATGAGGCAAGCCTGCGCTTACAGAAGTATAGAGAACCCATCAAAACAAGACTGGACAGCAGTCAAAACACAGCTTGTACGAAACTCTGGAGAGCTCTGTGGAGGTAGTTTCAGTGAACTGTCTGCTTTGGAACTCCCAACTCTACACTTTGAGCTAAAGGAAAGGCAAAAAAAAAAACCCCAAAAAACACAGGCCCACTCAGCATTTTCCCCTCAGGTAAGAGAACATTTCTTGTTTTGCATCAAATACAAAATGGTTGGGTTAGCTAAGGCTACAGTCACACCTAATTCAATCAGTTCAATCCTTCGTGTTTGTGCGTGCTTGAAGACTGGATACCAGACGGCAGCGCAATTCCTTTTACAACCCAGACCACATTCATATAATAGAAAATGCCTTCTCGGTGCGGAATGTGCATGGAATTCATCTTGTTATGAAGAGTTCTGGCCTTGCTGAGTTTCTCTCACTACATGTGACTAATGCAAATCAACTTTAATCTGTAGTCCGCAACTGGGTGTGCTCTGCTGCTGCGTTATCTTCGAAAGTCCACTGCTCACTGCTGCTGTTCAAACAGAGTGGCCGCTCAAAAGAGCAGACTTACAAACAACAAAAGGTGCAGCAGCTCGAACACAAGTGCAAAAACAATGTGACTGAGTCAATGGACTGGTATCTGTTTACCAGCCACACCTGCAGCAATGGCTAGAATTTTTCAGAGTTTACAAACTTGAGAAAAAGTTGCATGCAACCTTTTTTAATAGACTCTTTATAAGGAATAGTTGGACTTTTACTAAGCTTAAAACCAATGGTGACAGATGGTGACATTTTTCAAGCTGGTAACTAAAAGTGTCAAGAGAAACATTCAGCAGCACCATATAGGTCTTGTCATGATGTGGTTACTAGATAAACATGCTGTAAGACACTAGCAAACACTGGGTACTGAGCCACTTAGCTAACCATGTAAATATCAACTAGCAAGAACTGGCTGACAGCCAAGTCAGATGACTTGTACAAACTGTAGCGAGATCGGACACGTTTTACAAAATGCCGTCAAATGTCCCCTTCAACCTAGATGGTTCTTTAAGGGTTCTTTAGTAAAAAGAATGGTTCTATTAGAACCATAAGTTCTATATAGAACCATTTAATGCTTGAATGGTTCTTTGCATGGTGAAATGGTTCTTCAGATTGATGGAGAATGTGTTGCATATGGTTCTATACAACACCAAAAAGAGTTCTTTTGTTACAAGCTTCACATCATAACAATACCAGAACCCTTTTGGTGCTATAGAGAACCATTTTCAAAAAGGTTCTATGTAGAACCATATACAACACATTCTCCATCAATTTGAAGAACGATTTGATCATGCAAAGAACCATTTAAGCATACAAATGGTTCTATATAGAACTCATGATTCTGAACAGTACCATTCCCTTTACTAAAGAACCCTTGAAGAACCATCTTTTTAAGAGTGCAGCTGAAACTAGGCAGGTTGGAAAAGGCAACAATAACAAATACGCCATCATGATAACATTAGCTCATGTTGACACAACAAAAATGAAAATAAATTAAAACCTACATTTACATATCCCTGCTGTCGTAAGAAAACCTTGTTTTCTCCATTTTTGTTTTTCGTTTTTCAGATTTTTGGCATAATTTGACAATGCCTGTTGCCCTTTACATTGTGTGTATATGTCATGAAGAATGGACCAAGAGAAATGGCCCAACATTACTGGAAAAAAGTCTGGTTCCATTGACTTACATTAAAAGTAAAGTAGGTTTTGTCCTTCTCCTGTAAAGTTATCATTTTGGAGATATGAGGTTTTCTTCCGACAACAGCGATATACTTTGACAAAATTAGTTTTGTGCTCCCATTTCTCATTTGTTTGAATTGCATTTTTGCCAATGTTCTGTAAAACTTGGCCAATCTCACAACAGCTGTTGAAACATTTGTAGGAACAGCATAAATGACAATTAGTTAAACAACAAAATCCTCTAGCAACCTACAACATGCTAGCTGCCAACCAAGTTATATAGCTAACCAAATAGCAAAAAACTTGCAAGCTAACCACCAAGCTAGTTAGCTAATTATGTTATACAGCTAACCAACAACTGAAAACACAACTGTGTATAGCCACAGACAAATTTTAAAGAGCAACAGAGCCTAAGCCTGTACACTGCATTTGCCTTCAATCTACAGTGGCACTGCATCAAAAGCAAGACGTGTCTTTCCGCAGGAATTAAACTGAAAGCTGCATTTCTGCCCATGAATCCTCTTTCAGCAGGCTGTGGCAGCCCCACCCTGAGCTATATATTCTTGTGGAGAAAACCCAGTCTTAACCCCACCCTAAAGAACAAGAATAGCATGTTTGATGACAGGTACACATAGTGTTAACCATTGGTTCCTCTCTTCTACTGCTAAAGCCCTGAAACTCTGCAGCTATGGGTGAAAGCTACATGTTTGTTAGCACCCACCCTGTGCTGTTTATGCGCTGCTGATAAGTGGCAGCAAAGTTTATTTTTGTAACTGCCACAGATTATAATCCCCTAATGTAAACAGAGCAAACATTTGGCTGCTGTGTGTATGCTCAGTTAAGATACAAGGTTAATTTTGCACAACCGACATAACTAGGAGACTGATTATGTCTGTGTATTCACTAGGTTTTGAAAGTGGGCACTAGAGCTACAAGTAGAAAATTGAATTCTGGAATTAAAATGTAATAAATTGCAATTGTGACATGGCTTGTCATAGTCATTAATTCATTATTATTATTATTATTATTATCAATATTCTCTAAAAAATCATGAATTAATATTTACTTTCCCAAAAAAAAAAAATGCCAATGACTAGCCAACCATTTTTAAATGAAGGCTTCTTAAAAAAGAATCCTAGTACTCCGTCAATAATCAATACATGATTTGATTAGAAAGGCCTTGTTTTGGGGGTGGCCAGGCCAAAACAGAACACTGCAATCAGGGGTGGGCAATATGATGCTATTTAACGTTATCGTGATAAATATGTCATATGTTGCAATACACTTTTTGGAGCATATTGTGGATATCGCCACTCTGACCAGCAGCATGTTTCAATAAAAAGAAACTACAGTTTTAGTCCTGATTAGTTGCATTTGTAAAATGTATTTTTGAATGGGAGACTACTGGGGCTTTTTTTTACTGCTCCACTGTACATTGCGATGCCTTGTAATATGTTAAAACCACACTGGAGAACCATAACTCTGACCATCATGTGAACGCCTTGATTCATCAGAACACCCACATAAAGACTCATCAGGAACATTGCATTCTGGATGACAGCACATGAAAATGCAGTGACTTGTTACAGGTCTCATTTACATGTTGCAACCCTCAGAGACATCTGCTAGGGCCAAAGAGAATTAAACCAAAATATACTGTGCAGCCCTAATAGGCACCCACATCAGGTACGGACCCAACGCATTGACCATAACGCTGTCTGTTAACTGCAGACAGCTGCGACCATCTAACGGAATGGACGCCAAACAGGAGACACTTAACATTCTTCAAAAGATCTGGACCAAGCTGCAGGGAGTTCCTCAAGGAAACACCTACGAGATAGCGGGCTTCCTCATCCTCCTTATCTTCGTCTGTAAGTACAGGCCACATTTGCTTTAACTTCATGTACTATCTGTCATACAGTGTTTTGGCAGCAGATTAACTTGGCCAATGTGGTTAAGAGGCAGATGAGAGACAACGCCTTTCACATTATCTAAAATGAGAGAACATTTCAGTTTAATTACAGGGCTAAAACTGTAACTAAAGATGCATTCCAACAAAATCTCGAAGGAGTACTCCACACAACATCCATAATTAAATGTCTAGACCAATCACAAGCATTGACATAAAAAAAACTAAGCCAGAATCCCCCATAAAGTTGGACAAAGTAGAAAACGTAGACTGACTCTGTAAAAATTAGGACTGCATGAAATTGTGAAATAATGAAAATAATGTGCCTCTGTCTGAGTATGCTGTACGTAGACAGTGTAAAAAGAAAACTAAACTCTCTTTTAAGCACACAGCATACAAAGCACTGTTTACTACTGTGCAAAATAAAAAAATAAATACTAATAGCCACTTACATCAAGACTGCAACTGAAAGGCTGAATAAGAACACAGAGTGCCACTAGTGTGAAGCACTGCCCTTATTAAGCATCAAAAGCTATTTGACTGCTAATGCCCCCCACCATCATGTAAGAAACGTGACCACTACACAAACTCCACAGAGCCCCACCTACTTTAAAGGGCCCATATAGAAAATTAAATGTGCCTCCCTTTTTTTATAAAAGAGTTTGATGGCATCCAATTTTAGTAACTAAGCTACAAAAGCAGCCTGTTTTGATCTCCCTGCTTCTGTTAAATCAGGAAAAAAGACATATATATCTGCCTATTCAGCCTATAGCGGTTTAGCTCCACCCATTCACTCTGAAGTTATGAGGTGTATTTCAGCCTGGACTGCTTTTTGAAAGAGGCAACCAATCAGATCAGAGCTCATTTACACATATCAGTCTTAAAGTCACATGAACAGAAACAGCTTGTTTAATTCTAGGGGATACTGACCAAAAACAACTTCTCTGCAGAGGAATGAGCCTTTGCATATATCACAGCATGAACGAAATGGCCGAAAAACGTGCCAGGTGGACAGCTTGCAAAGTGGCAGCCTGTGATGTTTACTCCGTACTCCAACACTTTGGATGCGAAATGACAGTCACTGTGAGTGTGAAATGCAGGCTGTCCTGGGCTTAAGATCTTTTACATTTATATGCCACTTTCAGCAAATGAAAGGCCAGTTCCTTTGCTCAGGGTTTGACTAACCAGACTGAGCATGACTATAACAGTATAATACAGTAGAATACCATCGGCTACAACTGGTGTTCCTCCTACTCCTACTATGGGTGTGCGATGTCTAATAACTGCCATGATATTTTCTACTTAAACAATTGTGATTATCGACTAAGCTGTTTGGAAAATACAGCATTTTTTTTTAGACAGCAAATCACACTCTTTACCTGCAGAAGAGGCAGTGTGGAATTTACTCTTCCACTGCCCGCTTTTAAAGGCCCCATAATAACCTATTGTCTTAATAGTAAATGTAACCTTTTTCTGATCCTGTTTCCTGGTTGTAGAAGGGAAACGGAAAAACTTTCTCTACTTCTCAAAGTTCCAGGGCTAGAGCTAGCTTAGATGCTCTAAGGGTACTACCATCTGGTTGTTTTACTGAAGTAAGTCACACTGAAGGAAGCTGCAAAGTTCAAAAGCACGTTGGCATTTATTTTTAGTTCCATGTACTCAAGCTAAACTTAACATAAGGTAAGTGAAAGGGGAAGAGCTGTGGGGTAGGTAAACCTAGCAACTCCAATTTCCTAATATATTTAACAAGCTGTTTAATGGTAAATTATTCCTCCCTAGTTCTTTTGGCATTTTCCCAACATGGTGATGATCGCCTTTTCAGCACAGCCCTTGGGTCTGTTGCCCATCATCGACAATATCTGATTACATTGCCCTACCACCCAGCCTTAACTCCTACATTCCTTAAACAACCTTGCAACTTTTAGCTGGCTGTATGCCTTCTAAAGCACACTGTGTCACTGCAGATCTAATATATTAACAAGTCTTATTAATGCTGAAATAGGGATGGGCGATATGGCCAAAATATTATACATCACGATACTTTAAAACATTTACAAAATACACAATATGCTTCAGGATATTTAGTTTTTGTGAGATTGTTGGAATAGACATAATAGAAACCGTAGAGCCACATATAAATAATACAATAATAATAATAATAATAGTAATAATAATAAATCTATAACTGTGATGATTTTTATCCAGTGTTTCACAAACTGCACAGAATCCAATAAAACAGGACTAATTATGCTCACTTTGTATGAAACATAGTCAGTGAGCGTTTTTTTAAGTACTAACAATACCCAAGATCTGCTCAGAAAGGCATACTGTGACATAATTTCTCACAGTAATGATCAAATTTCATCATACTGCCCACCCCATTGCTGCATAACTTTTACCACTCACCTTCAGTGTAGGCCTTCAATGCATAATTGCGCATGCATCACTAAAAAAATGTAGATTTCAAAAGTTTTAATAAAGTTCTAAGGCCAAAACCTTCTCAAAACTATCATAAAACAGTGTCTCAGGCAGTAGATTTGTAACGATTTAGTGTAATAAATTTCTGTAAGGGAGCATTAGAAGCATTAAACTCTTTTTATAGAATGGAACATTTAACATCAAACCACTCTTAATGACTTACATCTTAACAAATTTAATATGCGAAAACTGTGGGGAAAAAAAAATATGATAGAATTCTCCTTGTTCCATCTTGTGCACACTGACTGGAGGGGTTTTCTTATCTTTCAGTGACGTTCCTGAGCTTGGTGGTGTTTGCTTGTGCACAGTGCTGCTGCAGCTGTGGAAGAAGACCCAGAAGTAAGGACTCTGTCATCTGAACCGTCATTACAATTCAGTCAGCCAATTTTAGCTTGCTTTAAAGGATGGAGGACTACCAGAGAAAGACAGAGCCCCAAAAAGAAAGGGATATGAAGAGAGGACACCATTGCGGGACGAAATTGCTATGTTTTGGGGGCCATTCAGTATTATGCATCTATGATCCTTTCATGCCTTTGACCATGAGACTCTCAAACAATAGAAAACATCCCTGTGGACAGTAAGGCTAGCCTTATACTTATTTTACACATATGCTCATTTAAAATATTGCTTATTGGTATTATCCATCTTCCATTTTCAGAGGAGACATGTCCTGTAAATCCCTGTACATAGTGTCAAGTGAAGGAACAACAATTATGTTCATGCAAGAAATCAAGGCTGCAAGAGCTGGCAGTTCATTTGTATACACATTGTGTAACAGTAATATTAAACAACAAAGACTGTTTTAAAAAGAGAAAAAGTGTCAATGCTATGCGAAACTAAATGGAACCAACTTAGGAATGGAAGGAGCAAATACTATTTAATATCAAATGTGACAGCAGTGTTTTCCTCATTTATTTATTTTGTGTTATGTGACTGACGTTTCACAATAAATACCACTATATATACACTAGTAAAGGAGCTACACCTACTTTTTTTTGTAAACTAAAACAGTACTGTCATTACAATATCTTCTAACACTCACTTCCAGACATTAAACCACACTCAGATAGGTTATCTTGTTTCTAAACTGTCTTTTGCAACAAGGCCTAGGTGAAGTCACATCATTTAATAAAAATCAATGTGAATGTGAAATGAAAAGATGATCTCAGAGGTTCAAACATTTGTTTGTGAAGTAGGAGTTTCATAGAATAGTTGACCAATAAATCAGTTTGTCAATGATGTTTGCAGCAGAATGCCTAGTTGATAATGCCTGGAATACACTAGCGCTTATACCTGCAGTCACAGTTCAGCTGCTAAATACAAAACCACCCAAAGTACTTTATTAGCGTGGAGATACTACACGAGATGAAACCAATTCAACTGCAAAAGCTGCATAAAACTGCACTGAAATACACACTCATAAGCCAGACTGGGTACGTTTTGAGAACCATCTCTGACGGGACTGTCTGACATGCAAACCGACCAATTGCAGAATGTTTAGTGTGACGTGTGCAAAAACAAAAACAAACTTGCGCTAAATAAAATGCATTACTGGTTGGCAGATGCCTGTTTAGTTAATCAGGATGTCTTGTTTACAAAAATAAGGACTCACTTCCTAAACTGTGATTGTTTTCTGGTTTAGCGACTAGGCCTACCTCTTACTCAGATTGGCTAACTGATGAGTATAAAAGCAACTGCTTGCTACCAGTAATTAGTCTGAAAAACAATTGTTTGTTTCCCACTGGACAGATGCAAGGAAGCTCGAAAAGCCAGATCCAATTCTCAGTAAGAGGTGAGATTCTGAGAGTGGTGATTTTAGTGAGCAGTTTACATCAGACAGTCTGTGTGTTACAGTGTGTAAGGCTGAAACTTACTGAAACACAACAAAAATTCTGCAATACACAATTCACACTTCAACCCACAGCATCTATGAAGAAGTTACAAACAAAATACTTTTCACAGACGACTGGAACACTCACGCCTTTTAAAAATTTGGTAATGATGACTACTCAACTACCTAATTAACAGTTGTGCAACCTCTAGTGTGAAGTACAACATACATTTAAGCAGCAGCAATACTGTTTGTTGAATTTTACATGAAGCACTGCTAATTTCAGTGCTCCTTTTACATGCAAATTGACCTGAAACTCATGCCAGTCAGTAAATAGAACAGTATTGTCAGGTCTTTGTATGTGTGTGTGTGTGTGTGTATAGATGTTCTTTTGATTCTTGCATAAAAGAAGCCCACCCTACTAAAGTTTTGAAATACCAGTCACTTGCACAGTCAACACACAGCCAGAAATTCTGGCTATAGCCTTATATTTAATACAGAATTGTCCCTAAAGGTCTATGAATTCCTGGTTTATAAAAAATGAAAACAAAACTATTGTTTCACATCTTCAATAACTGGAAGTCATCACTTTCAGAGGAACACATTATGCTTATCTTTCAGAAAAATCCTGCACTGGATTCCAGGTATTGAGGATATTTTGCAAGTTTTATTAATCCTTAAAGTCTTGCACTGCTGTGTAACTGTTGCTGACATATTCACTTCTCTATGCCTGACTGGACGAGCAATGCATTGGTAAATCCAGACCCTTTATCCATTTTAAATTGTAAACCTAAATAAAAAATTCAAGTGTTTCTGTTTTATGAAGCCTTACCCCTCTTGTTCACAGAAGTTCACCATGGCCTCAAAGTCCAGAATAGGAGCTTTGTCTTGCTCTTTCTCTGAACCTCGCTTCTCCTGAAATAGAGAGCCATCATGAAGCAGATTCCAAACATGTTACACACACATTACACATATCTAAGGGCATGACTGCCAGTGGCATCGTGACTGTCAGAGGCATCTAAACTATGAGTCTCGTGTATATGCTAACATTTCTGCCAAGTACTGCGCATATATTTATGACCTACTTTTTGTCTCTAAGACTGGTTTAACTGGTGAAACTTTTATGCAACTTTAATTGCGTGAAATCTACATGAAACTAAACCACACATCAGCTATGCATAACGTAAGGCCACTGTAATTCATTTGAAATTTAACCTCGTAGGACAAGTTTTATAAAACAGCCAATCAAAACGACAACAGAGCGGACGAAAAAAAAATAAAAAATAAAACAAAAAATGAGATTCCAACATGACTGACTCAAAGTTGGCAGTTTTTCATTTTCAGTGTTCTGAACCATTACAGACACGCAATTTTTCAAAGATACTATTTCTATATCCAGCAGCATTAACTAATTTGCTAACAACAACAGCAGTTTAAACAGCTGTTTATGCAATTTACTCTTCTAGCCTGTCATTATCGTGATCTATGTAGGCAGATTAATTTTCTCCTTGCTTGATGGCCATTAATTTTACACAGAGTTCAGATTCATCTGAGGACCAAAGGATGAAAATTATAACAGTGAGACATGTCCACTATGAACTTGTTGTGCTTTTAGTATAGAAAGAGTGAGACATCAAGTAGGCTTAGCTTATACACAACAGACAAAAACATCAATACATACTAAACAACCAGAGACAGACCGTTGGGGGGGGTCAGCAATGATAAAAAATGATAAAAAATAACCTGTCAATATGTAGATCACACTTTGTGGGTGACTTTATATTGCAAGAATGATAAGGTGCATCAAAAAATACAAGATGCTAATTTGCATAACTAGTGGAATAACAATGTGTTGCTTGGATATTTATCTATTTATTTAAATTTGATTTTTTTGTTTTTCATTTAACTGTCAAATTGCAAAGAATTTATGTTACCCGCAACCCACAACATTCGACTAGTCAGCTGGAGGCTAATAGTGTTAAAGGACACTGCACAATTTGTATTGCTAATACTAAAAGGGGAAACAATTTTTCCAAGTTAATTAGTAAATTAATAATTGTACTGTTAATATGTTGCCATTCATGGTGGGTTGATGTGAAATGCACCATTCTAAAGAAACTCAAAGAGATGGAACTGTTCACAGTGGTGGTGATAGGAACCTGGAGCCATATTACAGAAATATCCTTGCTCTGAAATTTATCATATCTATTTAGTCTCCATGGCAACTTCAGTTAGAATCAAATTTAGAGCAGTAGCGATTACACAATAACAGTTCCAAAGTTCATAATCTTATCCGTTAACTCCAGATAAGAAAACAGTACTACAGAAACAACTTAATTTCTTAAATACCGTACTAACTTCAGGATAAACCAAGAAGGGTCCTAACTTCTGTTTCATCCTTCTACATTTCTACAGTCAGTGATTCTATTGAAAAGAGAATGTTACTGTTTTAGAGTCAGCTGTAACAGGCCGTAACAAGTTCACTCTATCTAACATAAATGGACAAGTTCTTTTTCTAATGCTGTAGTTAAAAACATCCTGGACACTGCAGCCGTGTTATCTCTCGCTCCTTCTTATTACCTGAATGTGTTAATGTTGACGAAAACTTGTCAAATACAATACTGCAATAGTGGTGAATAATGAGGAGAGGGAGTTAAAAGTGTAAAAATAAAAATATTAGAGTAAATATCAAATATTGAAATAACTTCTCTATATGTACACATGCCTCAAACAAGTTCCTGAACATTTATTAAGGGCTAGTTTGGCCACAATGCGAATGAGGGCAATAATAAATAGACCAACTAAGAACATGATAAAAAAGTCAGAAAGTTCATTAGACAAGTATTGCTTCAACTTGGAATTTGATCATCTGCTTTTTATAGACATCTATATTAAGATTTAATTTATTGATTAAAATACTCCACCAAAACAGACACAGGCTTACCTTAGCTTAAGCAAAGCTTTGCCACTTGTGTGACACAGCTGAGACTTTCCGAAACTTCACATCAGCTATACACTGGGTCCCATTTGGTACAGAACATACATATTTAATCTCCTCATAATAAAATCATCAAAGGAAACTAGTTCAATCATTCAACAACTAGCTTCTTCAAGCCATCCTAACTGATTTCATGTTGTTGTTGACATTCACTGATACAAACCATAAAACAAAAGCACAACTGCCTAGTATGAGTATGATGTTTAATTCTGCTCTCTGCAGTACCACAGATCAGCGAGACCCAAGTGGGCTGGCACAGTGATGTGACATGGTCAACACTGCATCTTTTTACTGGGTAATTAAAAGAGAGCTGTCAACTTTGGTTATTTATTAACGTATAAAGTGCAGCATCATGCCAAAGCTTGAGAAAAAAGGGGGACCATCAAAGCCATTTAAGGAGGGAAAAAAAGTGCAGCAAAACTTGCCAATGACATTATCGGTGACTTCAGTATCAACTGGAGAGAGGACTCAGCTACACAATATGCATGGTCTGTCCACTGTTACCCACAAAGCCCATCCCATCAAAATTAGAAACAATAAAAAGAGCAGCCTTATCAACCAACAATACAGTACTAGGCAAGTAGTATGAATGAGTCTACTGACACTGTTTACAGTTTCAATGTTGGCTGAGGAGGAAAAAGAAAAATGTATTTATTTATTTTTGCTGAGCTACAAATATACACAGCTTAGCAAATGGACCACACTGCTGTTGTCGAAAGAAAACCTTGTATCTCCATTTTTTGTTCTTTGACGTTATTTGAAAATGCCTGTTGTCCTTTACATTATTTATAAATTTCATGAACAGACCAAAAGAAACGACCCAAAACGACTTGGAAAAAAAGTTCTGGTTCCATTGACTTACATTAAAAGTAAAGTAGGTAAAGTTGCCATTTTGGAGATATATGTCAGCAGCGATATATGTGTGTGTGCAAAAGTGCATTAACCTCCATTTCAGCGCAAAACTAAAGCTAAAACTAAACTTCAGACACAAAACTTGTTTTGAACTACAACTACATTTGTGCTAAGGCAAAAATTAGGGGTGCGGGAAAAAGTCGATTCTTAGATGCATCGCGATACGGACGTGAACGATTCTGAATCGATTCATTAATGTCAAAAATCGATTTTCTAAATATTTAATTTATAACG